GGTCTGCAAGTTCAAGCGCAGTCCAGGCAGCTTAGGGAAATCTTGTCTCATGAATGGAAGAACGAACGAAAAAGGACTAAGGATGTAACTCAGTGGTTGAGAACTTCCAGAGCACACACACACACACACACACACACACACACACATTCACACACACTCACACACACATTCACACACACACTCACACACTCACACACACTCACACACACTCAAACACACATTCACACACACTCACACACACATTCACACACATTCACACACACACATTCACACACACACACCAAAAACAAAAAACAAACAAACAAACAAAAAGTCCTGGATTCATTCATTATCACTGAATAGTAACAATAAGTTTTTAAAATAAAAGTTTTGATTGGGTTCAGCGATAGACCATGAGTAAGGCCTTAGTCTGATGCCAGACAAAAACAAAAACAAAAATATACCAGCAAAATACCCAACACAGCCGCTGTAGGGTCATTGCATAGATCTTTTTAAGGCCACACAGGTAAGCTAAACAATCCCTGGGGCTTACACCAGAATTACATAAATTCAACTGGCATGTGACAGTTAGAACAAACTAACTGTTGTTAGTGAATGAATACATTTTGGTGACCCAACATCAGAGATAGCATGGACTACAAACCTGAGTGGAAAGGGAATGGCTTTTGTGGCCGTGGAGTAGCAGAGCTGACCTGAAAATTCCCAGAAAGCCTTGGATTACTCCATCGTTACTACCTATTACTGATGGAGTGTACCTGAGCTGTGCAAATTCTTTATATAGGCTGCCTTGTAGCATTTTGTAAGTTCTCTATGTAGATTATCTCGTAGCACTTTTTTAAAAAGATTTATTTATTTAATAGGTATACAGTTATGCCTGCATGTATATCTGCAAGCCAGAAGAGGGCACCAGATCTCATTACAGATGGTTGTGAGCCCCCATGTGGTTGCTGGGAATTGAACTCAGGACCCTGGGAGAGCAGCCAGTGCTCTTAACCTCTGAGCCATCTCTCCAACTCTCTTGTGGCATTTTGTAAGTTCTTTATGTAGGTTATCTCCTGGCGTTTTGTAAGAATCCTAAAAAAGCCGGGTGGTGGTGGCGCACGCCTTTAATCCCAGCACTCGGGAGGCAGAGGCAGGCGGATCTCTGTGAGTTCGAGGCCAGGCTGGACCGACAGCCTCCAAAACAATACAGAGAAACCCTGTCTCGTAAAACCAAAAAAAAAAAAAAAAAAGGATCCTAAAAAAAAATGGTTCCATTATCTATCATCTCCCATTTTATAGTATGAAAACTGAAAAGTTAAATCCGTTATTCCAGGTTCACAACTTGGGCACATGGCTTCCAGGTGACAATCAAACCCGGTGCCATCCTCACCAGCCCTGACTCCTTTCTGCAGCTCACTTCCTGCTCCGTGCTTGCCACAAGGCAGGAGAGGGGGAAAGGCAGCATGGGAGCACACTGAGGTGTGATCAGCGCTGTTTGCTTCTTTCTGATTGGTTGCTACTCACCCGCTTCTCGTTGCAGGAAGGTGAACAAGTGCTACCGAGGCCGATCCTGCCCCATCATAGTGCACTGCAGGTGGGCGGGGACCGCCACACAGAGGCCCCGGGCGGGGTCTTCCTGGTTCTCTCCTTCTCTCTGGTCCTTTCCCTTGTGCACAAACCATCTGTCTTTAATGCACATCCTGTCTTTAATGAGTTAAAAATAGACACACACATACATGTGCATGCGCACGTACACACACACACACACACACACACACACACACAGAAGAATGTCAGCCCACCACACTGGAAATGCTTACTCTTTGGCCCTTTCTATGGAGAGCTGGCTGAACAAAAGCCAGGCCCCAGGCTGGAGAGGGCCATTCCCATTCTGTCCTGCTGCCTCCCCTGAAAACTGAGCCGTGGCTATACTTTCCAGTTGTCCACACGCCAGTACTCACAGGCTGCCACTCAACACCTGTTTTCTCAGCCATGGCTTACTGATGCTCTTCCCAGGCCAACTCCAAGAATCAGCCAATGTCCTCACCCCAGCCCCCATGTCTGCTCCCTTCCTGCCTTGTCAGGGCTAAGCCTGTGTGTCACCAACTCCTATTTTCAGTGATGGTGCAGGGAGGACAGGCACCTACATCCTTATTGACATGGTACTGAACCGCATGGCAAAAGGTAAGGTCTTCTGTTCCCACGGGACCCACAGCCCTGGTCCCTCATGGTTCCCCAGGACCCAGTGGGCTCGCTCTCACACCCGCTGGGGAACACATGCTCACATCTCCAAGATTTCCAAAGATGCCCAGGCTTTATGGTGCTTGTCTCCCCCGGACATCCCCTGAAGCATCTCCTACTCCACCCTATCCCCAGGGGTGAAGGAGATTGACATTGCTGCCACCCTGGAGCATGTCCGTGACCAGCGGCCGGGCCTTGTCCGCTCTAAGGTGACAATGCCTCCCTGCCTATCCCTAGTCACTTCCCTTCCCACGCGTTCTCTTCACGACCACCAAGAAGAAACCAATAGCAGTCTGCCCCTCCTGAACTCCCCAAGAGACCTCCCCTTCCTCCAAATGCCCAGCACCCTCCACAGCTGCAGTGCCCCCTCAGGCAGAGGCAGAGGCAGAGAGGCGAGGTTTCCACTGCCCCTCCTGAACTCCCCAAGAGACCTCCCCTTCCTCCAAATGCCCAGCACCCTCCACAGCTGCAGTGTCCCCTTAGGCAGAGGCAGAGGCTAGGTTTCCACTGATCCTTCTGCCACTGATCTTGCACAGGACCAGTTTGAGTTTGCGCTGACAGCCGTGGCGGAGGAGGTGAATGCCATCCTCAAGGCCCTGCCCCAGTGAGCCCCCTGGGCACCTCAGTGGGCATCCTGGCCTCTACTCCTTCTGCTGTATGAGCACCTGTGCACCCCACTCTTCAGCCCTTACCCACCTGCCATCCTGGCCCGTCTTGGGCATGGCAGCCCTTCCCAGCCCAGTGTGGAAGGAAGTGGGGGAGAGAAGGGGCTGATCCATCCAGCCTCTTTCATGCAAGAACCTAGGCAGCCCATGGGAAACAGACAGCAGGCAGGGGGAGGAGTGGACACCAGAAGCACGTGTGCCCAAGCCCCATCCTACCTGAGTCTCTGTCTCCCTCTCCCCATGATTCTGGGTGTCCCCAGCCAGTCTGCATACCCCTGACTCCCACCAGCCTGCTGTGTATAGACAGAGCAGGATGAGAGGCCCCAGCCCCCCCAGCCCCCCCAGCCCTGCTACCACTGGCCTGCCACCTTGACCCTGCTCAGCTTTCTCCCTCTAGCACAAGAGAACATTTCTAGAAAAATCTACTTTTGTATCAGTGTGAATAAAGTTAGTGTGTTGTCTGTGTAGCTGCAACATGGACACCTTTGCAGTTCTGTTAAGCTTCCAGGCTCCAGCTGTAGCTTGAGTCTCAGCTGGCCTGGCCTGTCTCCCTGGAGACACCGAAAGCAGAGAGCCACAGGTGACCCTGGCTGCAGAGGCTCCGTGACTGTCCTTGGTTTGAGAAGTGCCTAATGGCGTGACTTCTAGGTGCCTAGCAGGTTCCTGCATGCATTCGTTTAGCTTCATAAAACCCTGACCAATGATGCCTCACATACAAAGAGTGCAGCATGGCCCTAGCTCAGGCTGTGAACCTTGAAGTGGTGGAGTCAGGGTCCAAATCCGGGCAGTGGGCCTTCATAGAGCCTTTCCTCCCAGTTCTTAGGATGCTGCATGCCCTTCAGCCTCAGCAATGACGTTTTGTCACCCAGGACTGTTTAGGGCTGTGGGGACCATTTACCCACTGCCTGCCACATTCCAGGTGATAGATATCACAGCCAACTCTGCCACCGCAGTGCTGGGGCAGGACCAGCCGGGGGACACTGCTTCCCTTTCATCTATCCTCCTCTTAGCCCATTACCCTTAGGGTGACTTATGCCCCTCCCCCAGGAATGCTCATCTGTATGTCATAAGTGACCTCAGACAGTGAGCTCAGACACAGAAAGATGAGCTGAGCTGAGCTGAGCTGAGCTGAGCTGAGCCGAGGGCTGGGGCCACTCCCTCCTGCTAGAGTTCCAATGAAAACACAGTGAATTCTGAGTGCTGGGGGTGAGAAGCCCCATCCCACCGTCTGTCCCCTGCTGAGGCTCAGCTGTGATGTCCTGCAAGGCAAAGGCTCCAAGTAGGCAAGGCCTCATTCTGCAAGTCCCAGCAGATGCTCAGGATGGGGCTTGGAATTCCACCTTCAGGATAGGCTGCTGCTTTAGCTTGGAGAAATTGGTCAGGCCCCTTTGACCTCCCCCACACACACACCAAAGGTGAAGCCGATGGTGATTTCTGGGGTGAGGGAGCCAGGGCCACATCCTCTTGTAGAACAGCCAAGGTGCTGGGCCTGTGCCTGGAGACAGTAAGTGGGGAGGGGCTCCTGGTTCCTTCTTCCCTGGGCCTGGGCGCTGGGTAGGATGGTGTCCACATGCTCCTGGCTCTCACCCCCTGGAGAGGTTTAGTCTAGAGCACTTGGGTACTGCTTAAAATCATCAGGTGTCCTCAGTGGTGGTGGTTCACACCTTTAATCCCGGCACTCAGGAGGCAAAGGCAGATGGATCCCTGTGTTTTTTTGGAGCTACACAGAGAAACTCTGTCTTGAAAACACACACACACACACACACACACACACACACACACACACACACACACACACGGTGTCTCCATTTGTTTTTTGTGAGTTCCTATGTTTCCAATAAAGTCTTAACTTAGTTTGGGCCTAGCTGTACTGCAGAGAACTGGGAACTAGGTCCTCTTACAAGAGGAAACTTCAGGGTAAAGCTAGTTGGGGGCCCTGGAAGTAAGGAAGCATTTCTTGATATCCCACAACACCCTTGGGGAGGACAACCTGTTTGAGGCTTGTGCCTCCAGCTATTTGGATTAGGGAAGGTGTAAGGCCCAAGTGTCATCTCGTTGTCCCAGAAGGTCCCTCTTAGGCCATCTTGGAAAGGAGGCACACAGGGCACTAAGTTCTCAAAACTCAACTTTATTGGCTTCCATTTTCCCTGAGTCTGAGCTCAGTTCATCTGGCTTTGGTGGGTCTCAGAGACTCAACGTTACAGAAGCTGTCCACAGCCTGCCCCACCAACCACCCCCCACTGGCCTTGGACTCCCCAGCGGACAGGTGGCTCATGGAGGATGAATGATGATAGAGAGAATGGGCAGCAAGGTCAGAGGCCAAAGAAAGCCATTCAAGCAATATGTCCAACACTCCCTCTGCATGCCAATCTTCGCCATACACACTCCAGCCAAGGCAGCCTTCTCTCCAACGTTCTGCCAGCCCACAGCCATCAGTCTTCCAGGACAATGCCATACCCACTCCATCCACTGCCCACTAGCTTAAGACTTGGGACCCCAGGCTGCCCAAGGGAAATGACCTCTCAGATACTACAGGACTTGGATGTGCTCACTCCAACCTGGGTCTAGCAAGAAGTATTAGAGGAACTAAGGTTCTGGTCTTTTCTCCTTCATCCACAATTCTCACCACCCCTGCCACGGACAAATGAAAGGCAAGATATCCCCATTCAGAGAGTGACACACTGGTCAGGTTTGGAACTACATATCCCAGAAGCCCAGCTTTATAACCGAGCACCACTTCCCCTGGGATAAGAGCTATCAGAAATGAGGCCAGGGTGCATTGCACTCTGGGATTTGTAATCTGCGAGAGCGCTAAGCATCCAGGAGAGAGAGTTCAGAGGCTAAGACTATGGGTGCCTCCCACTCAGTCCCCACCCACCACCCAGGCCCCAGCCCTACACTCAGCTTAAGTGAGGGAGAGGGATGTAGTATTCCCTCCTAGCACATTGGGGAGGGCGCTGTCCCGTTGGAACTGCAGCAACTCTGGATCCAGGATATCCAGCTCAGAACACATCTGGGGAGAGAGCAGGGGTGGGTGACAGGAGAAAGGGTCAGCTGCAAGCAGATGGAGGGTGGAGCAAGCATGCACAGCCGAGGCCAAGCCCTGTGCCAGCCCCTGAGCTCTGATGCCTGAGGGACAAGCAGTACAGATACAGTGCCCCCCAGCCTCCCACTGGGTCCCCCTGGCCCTGGCCCACCTCTCCAAGGATAGCCAGCCTCACCTCTGCCTCGTCCTATGGTCAGGGCAGGCTGAGGCAGCAAGGAGGAGGGAAGAGGAGTTGGTTCTGGTTGAGACTCGGGAGGGCCGAGAGGCTTCAGCCCCACCTAGCTAGCCTCCCCAGAAGATCTCATGGCCCCACTGGCCCCAGCATCTTCCTGGGCACACTGAGGCTTCAAAGAGAAGGAGGAGGGAGTCCTAGCCAAGCAGCAGCAAAGGCAAGTGATGCAGTCACAGAGAGTTGCAGAGAGCAGAGCAGGAGGAGAGCAGCACCAGAGGGGAGACAGAGACGATGACAACAGGTGAGAACTCATTTCTCCACAGAAACCAGGAGGCCCGCAGCTGGGCAAGGACATCAGAGGCTCCACTCAGCCTGCGATGCTCCCCAGGGGAGCTGCCAACTTGAGCTCAGAGCATGGCAGGTCAAGTCCTCCTTCCTTGACAACATCAGCAACATAGACGGCAGAAGAAGACAGGCACAAAAGTCCCACTAATGTCCCTCAGCAATGCCTGATCCAACTGGTGCCTCTGGGCTCCACAGGCCCTTCCGTGGCCCCGACGCCCCTACTCCTGGGCTTTACCTAGGGACTTATCAGCCCTGGACAGAGCACAATAAATCCCCAGCTCATGCTATAGGATGATGGGCCTGGAAGGGAAACTTGTGGAGGGACAGAATTTGGGATCCTGCAACTCAGGCCACAGTCCATTCTGTACTTCCCACAGTGAGCTGGACTCTGAGTCAGGACCTTAATCGGGTCAAGCTCGGCCTGGCTTTCAGAGAATGAGGCAGCGAGAAGCCTTCTCCTCTGAAGATGGGCTGGACTTGGTCGGCTCGCCCCTCACCCCCTGACGAGTGCCTCCCATATCAAGGTCTTGGTGCTGGGCCTTGGACCGCCCCTGCCATCGCTGCTGTGCCCCCCGCCCACCTGCTGGCTTCTGCCCAGCTGCTTCCATCTCTGACAGGCTGTAGGCCATGGCAAGCTGCAGGTCCTCATCCTCAGAAAGGTCGCTGTCAGGGGCACGGGAGACAGGGGTCGGCTGGACCTGTGTGCTCCCCAACCTGGAGGTGACTGAAGGTTGCTGCTCACGACGGCTCAGCTCCAAGCCTAGTGCCAGGTCATCTGGGACACCTGCGAGAGTCACAGCCACCATCATGTTCCAAACCCAAGCTAAAACATCATGACAGACCACCTAACACAGCAATGACCCTGCCCGTTCACGGCCTCTCTCTGGAACTGACGCATATGCATTAGGCATCCCAGGTTGTAGCTATGTCATCTCAAGCACAGTATAAGGCCTCCCTGCACCTCCCTCGTCTATGACACGGGAATGAGAGATTGTCTACACAAGCAAACTGTTCCAATGACTAAATGTGGTAAACCCATGTAAAGTACTTGTCATAGTGCTCAGTGCTGGCAGGTAAGTAGCTAGCCACAGCAAGTCCTTGGGGAAGAGCTCCACCTTAATCCTGAGTCCTGAGTTTGATCCTGGACTAGCACTGTGGCCTAGCATGTATATGTGCAAGGCTCCAGTGTCTGTGTCCAACACACACACACACACACACACACACACACACACACACACACACACACACCTAATTTTGATTCCTGGCTTAATTTATCCCTTTTATATGGTAGACGGTAGTTTTGAGCTAGAAGCTACATGCTTCGGCTCAGGCTCCTCCAATTAAAGCTGGATAAATATGATCTGCACTGCTTTACTCCTGTCTTATGCTACGAATGCAGGACTGAGGAGACAGCTCAGTGTGTAAAGTGCCTGCGATGCGAGCATGAGGACCCCAGCATCCGAGGAAAAAGGGGGGTGTGGCAGTGCACACCTGTAATTCCAGGGCTGGAAGAGCGGGGGTACAAGGGTCCCTGAGGCTTGCTGGCCAGCCAGTTAAGCAAAATCAGTGAGCTCCAAGTTCAGGGAGAGACTCTGCCTCAAAACGAAGGGAGGGAAAAGAGAACATGAGTGGGGAGGAGGACACGGCAGGTAGGACTGGGAGGAGCTGGAGGGTAACGGTGGGTGGGGCATGAGCATCATCGAAATTCATTGTATGCAGGTGTGAAATTCTCAAAATATATTGTATGCAGGTGTGAAATTCTCAAAATATATTGTATGCAGGTGTGAAATTCTCAAAATACATTGTATGCAGGTGTGAAATTCTCAAAATACATTGTATGCAGGTGTGAAATTCTCAAAATACATTGTATGCAGGTGTGAAATTCTCAAAATATATTGTATGCAGGTGTGAAATTCTCAAAATACATTGTATGCAGGTGTGAAATTCTCAAAATATATTGTATGCAGGTGTGAAATTCTCAAAACACATTGTATGCAGGTGTGAAATTCTCAAAAGAGTGAATAGAAAATGGGACTGCAGTTAAGAGCAGGCACTGCTCCCCCACAGGACCAAAGCTCAACCTCCAGCATCCGTATCAGGAGGCTCGAGATTTCCTGAGACTCCATCTCCAAGGGGACTTGGAGATGCCTTGGACCTGTGAGCAACTGCACAGACACAGACACATATGCACACACAGCTACACATAATCAAAAAGAAATCTTAAAATAAATATATGTTTATCTTAAAATAAGTATATATAATTGTAATTTTAAAAAACACAATAGAGGCCAGACAGTGGTGTTGTAGCAAGCCTTTAATCCCAGCACTCAGGAGGAAGAGACAGATGGCTCTCTGTGAGTTCGAGGTCAGCCTGATCTACAGAGCAAGTTCCAGGATAGCAAGGGAAACCGTGTCTCAAAAAAACCAAAACCAAGACAACAACAACAAAAACACAATAGAAGACAACAGACACTGACCTTTGGCGTCCACAGGTACAGTCATGGTACATGCAGTACCTCTCTCTCTCCCTCTCTCTCTCTCTCTCTCTCTCACACACACACACACACTCGCACGTGCACGCATGCAGAGGACAGAAAAAGAGGGACAGAGACAGAGAAAGAAAGCACCCCTGTACCCCACAGTGGCCTTGTATATGTGCACGTCCTTTAAACACTGAGGCTCTCACTCAGTGGTAGAGTTTGCCCAACATGCCTAAGGCTCTGGGTTCAATGCCCAGTGTCACTCACACGGAGAAGCCTCACAAATGTAAGGCATCCCACTAATGATGACGCTAATTAGACAGCCATCTGAGACTCTTCTCCCACTGGCCTTCCGCCAAGGGAGGTAGGAGACACACGGGTCTAAGGCTTCCTGCCAGAAGCCCACTCACTCACCACTGATTGAGACTGACTTCAGCTGCCCCACTCACTCACCATTGATTGAGACTGACTTCAGCTGCCCGTCCTCTTCCACTTCTACCCGCTCCTGCCCATTCTCCATGATCCTGTGGAAGACAGCACACTTCAGTCAATGAACAGAGACTGGTCCGGTCTCTGACAGTTGCTGTGGTCAGGGCAGACTCCATGCTCACACAGCACTTGCTGGGACACCTCATCCCCAGACCGCCCGCCTGTAGGGGCCCAGAAGGAGTGCTCACCTGCGCGTGGTGATGCGGTGTCCTTGGACAAAGGTAGTAGACGTAGAGACAGAACGAAAGGCACCAGCCCCGGGGCTGAAGGAGAAAGACGACGAGGAGAAATCTGTTGGGACAAAGGAGGCAGAGGGGAGGCTATGAGAGGGCAGCTCCTGGCTACCGACCACCAACACTGAAAGCCAGGAGTCTTGGGGGCCCGCACTAAGATCTGCCCCGCCTAGCAAAACCAAAGCCAATTCCAGGGCCTCCAGGACTCACGATTTGCAAAAATGGAAAGGGACAGTGCTTACCAGACTGGCCAGGAAAAGAGGAAGAGAAGGTGAAGAAAGGGCCAGAGTGTCGGGAACCCCGGTTCTGAAGCTCCGAGAAGGGGCCCAAGTCATCTGCAAGAAGGAGATTAGAAGCTGGTGAGGAAATAGCCTCCAAAACCATGTGTGTGCCTGACGCTTTAAAGTCTAGAAATCAAGATGATGAACAAACACGACACTTCTGATTTTTCCTGGTTTGGGTTGTCCAAATTTACAAACTTTTAGAACTTTTTTTTTGAAAAAGGATCTCAGTTGCTCAGACTAACCTCAAATTTAATAGATAGATAAGGATGACTTTGAATCCCTGAACATGGGCCTCCACCTCCCAAGTGAAAAGGGTGTTGTTTTTGTTGTTGTTTGGGTTTTTTTCTTTGTTTATTTGGTTGGTTGATTGTTTGTTTTGAGACAGAGTCTCACTGGGTAACCCTGGCTGGCCTGGAAACTGCTATACAGACTAGACTAGCCTCTAACTCACAGAGTGCCTCTGCCTCCCGAGTTCAGGGTTAAATGTGTGCCCCACCACGTCTGGCTCTCAAGCGCTGAGTTTTTTTTTGTTTGTTTGTTTTTGGTTTTACGAGACAGGGTTTCTCTGTATTGCTTTGGAGGCTATCGGTCTAGCCCGGCCTTGAACTCACAGAGATCCGCCTGCCTCTGCCTCCCGAATGCTGGGATTAAAGGCGTGCACCACCACTGCCCGGCAAGTGCTGAGTTTTTTTACAGGCACGTGTAACCATGCTGTTGACGGAGTCTCCTAATCACCAGTTTACTTTCTGTTGTGTTTTGTTTTGTGATGCTGAGGACTGAAACCAGTGCCTTGCTGGTGCTAGACAGGCGTCTACCACTGAGCCCCTCCCTGGTCACCCAGGAATGCCATTTACTATGTGAGTCTAAGCTAACTAATGTGTTTTCTCATCTGCAAATGCGAATTAAAGTTACTCCCCTCTCAGGATTTACACGAGGTTAGGGGATGCGGGGTTCTTGGCATATATTATTCATGAAAAAAAAAACGGTGTCTGTTGTTATGTGTAATGCTGCTCCTGCTGTCACATGACGCTGGGAGTCTTGTTCCCCCAGTGGCTGTTGTGGAAGTTTAACAATGTGTTCTTGTTGTCATTTAATAAGGCCAGTCTGGAAAGTGTCACGTGAGTCCTGGAGTGTGTGAGGTTCTGTCCTAGCTTTTGCTGGACTCCCACCTACATAGCCTCAAATCGTCTGTCTGTGAAATTGCAATTCCCTCTCAGACTATAGCCTGAGAGATTCTGAAAGGATAGACAGCAGGCAGGAAGAGGGAGCTGAACTATGCTGTGTACATACCAAAGAGCTCTGAAAAAGGGTCCCCACTCCCGAAGAACTCCCGGAAGACTTCCTCAGGGCTGCGGAAGGTGAATGTGAAGCCAGGTCCCATACCACCAGTCTCTGGTTGAGAGGGAGCAGTTCCTGGAAGAGCCGGGATGAGGAGGGGCTTAGAGAATGGCCCTGAGCCAGGGCCCCCAGACATGGCCAGGAGCCTTAGAAAGAGCATGTTCTGCAGGAGCCTTAGAAAGAGCATGTTCTGCAGGAGTTTGCCTGCCCCTCCCTCCTTCCCCACTTTCATCCCGGTACCCCACTACTCCACCTACCTGCCCCCGTCAGCCCTTCCCGGCCATAGCGGTCATAGATCTCTCGTTTGTGCTCTGGAAGAAGAAACCTGGTCATTCCTCCCTTTAGAGTAGTTATCTCCCCTCCCAGGCTAGGACAAGCTTCAGAAAATGCAACTTGGGGGATGGCAGGGTGCCTGGACGCATGATCATAACAACTGCCACATCTATAAAACAGACACACTAACAGCACCTACTTCTCGGCCATCAGAGAGAACCAAACAAGCAACTCACAAAAACTGCCTAGCTTAGTGCCCAACACTGGATAAATATAAGCTAGGGGCTAAGGAAGACTTGGTGGTAGAGACCCCGCCTAACAGGAACAAAACCCCGGGCCTCACACCGAGCTCTGTAACCAGGCTGTCTTCACACTCTTGGCTATCATCTCCCCTCAGCCTGCTAAGTGCTGAGATTACAGGTGTGGGCCACCACCCACAGCTCACATATATATAAAGACACTGTTCATGGAGCCCAGACTGCTCTTGAATTTGGGAGATAGCCAAGAAAGACCTTGAACTTTTGATCCTTCTGCTTCTACCTACCATTGCTAGGATTACAGGCGTGCACCATCATGCCTAGTTTATTTGGGGTCAAATCCAGGGCCTGTGTATGTTACCAAAGCACACTCTATGAACAAAGCTACTCCTCAGCCCACTGTTGCCTGTCCACTTACTGAGACAGGATATATATATATATATATATATATATATATATCTTTGAACTCAAGATCCTCCTGCCTTACCAAAGTACTGGAATTATCATCACTTATAACCATGTCTGGTCAGAATATTTTCTGAATGGAGGAATGACAGACCTGGCTGGGATTGCAGCTTAATGATAGAATGATTGCCTATCGTGTACAATGCTCCAGATACAATCAGCATCACAGAAAAGAAAAAAATCTGTCAGACCTGGATTCATATTCTAGATGAAGAAATGGGCAAGTTATTTCACCTCTCTCGGCCTCGGTTCACCTGCCTGTAAAATGGGGGTGATACGCCTGCTTGGCAGGAAAGCTGTGCCCTTCCCTGGTCAGGACCCATCCTGCTTCCCAGACCCTGGGAGACCGTCAGAACTTGCCATGTAGGAGGAGGCACTTAAACACTATCTTTGAGATAAGCATGGAGGAAACGGGTGACGGAGGCTTGGCTTTGGGAAGGGGTGTGAGATGGGCATGATGGGAAACAGGACCCCATGCCTTACTGTCAGATAGTACTTCATAGGCCTCTGCCACCTCCTTAAATTTTCTCTCAGCAAACTCCTTATTATCTGGGTTCTTGTCTGGGTGCCACTGCAGAGCCTTCTTTCGGTACCTGCAGGAAGTGAGAGAAGCTGGGGGGTCAGGGACCTGCTGTGGGCTCTTCCCACCCACCCGCTGCGCTTAGTCCACCACCCTTTCACTGCTCCAATCCAAGACTGCAGCCATGTTTTCAGGGCTCTCTCTCTCTCCCTGCCCTGTGCCAGGGGTATGAGCGGAGAGTAAGGGTGCCAGAAGAACGCCCCCACCCTGAGGCCTCTCTCGGGGCTCATCGGACAGAGCAATCTACAGCCGCAGAGAGCCTGGGGACACTGGCCTACCTCGTAGAGCCCGGAGCATTTTAGTACTGCAACCTGGGCAAGCCCACAGGTAGGAGAGCTGGAGGAGAGGGGAATCGGGCGGGAGTGTGTAGCGGGCCCCGGAGAAGGACAGCACTTCTTCCCTCGCTGGACTTGGTCCTTGTACTCCCAAGGGTCCCCTTCCTCCCTCCAGGCAACCCTCGAAGGGGCCCTGGCGCTGGGGGGCGGGGAGGGGCAGGGGCAGGGAACAAGGGTCCGAGGCTTTCTGCAGCACAGCCGAGGCACTTACGCCTTCTTGATGTCATCAGCAGACGCACTCCGTGGTACGTCTAGAATCTCGTAGTAGGATGCCATGGCAACTCAGCCGTCAGGCGGCCCTCCTCTGGGCTGCGGAGAGAAGGGGGTCAGGCCAAGCGGGACACCGTGGCTCCCTGCGGCCGCAGCCCCGGACGGGCTGGAGGCGCAGCGAGGTGGAACCCGCGCCTGCAGCCGGTGACTAGGCTCCTTCACAGCCTTATCCAGTGCCGCAGGCCGGTGCCCAGCGTTATCTCGCCGCAGGCCGAGAGAACCCTACCCGAACCCCCTAACTCCAGCAGCCCCCAACCTGACCCAGCCGGGGCCGCACCTCCTCTGCCGGGAGTCCCGCCCCTGCCCCCGCGGGGGAACTGCCTGGCACCCGCGGCCCGGCTCGCGGATGCTGCGTACGACGCGCCAGGCTGGGTTGTGTGCGCAAGCATGCGTCAGCACCGCGGAAGCTACTAGAGACCTAGAGAAGGCCGGCTCGGCCGGTCACACTGGGTGGGGGAGGTGGGGCGCGGGAGGGGGCGCTGCAGGGGCTGCTGGGAAATGGGGGCGGAGCCGTCTATTTTAGTTTCGCACCCAGGCGACGTCATTCCCAGGTGGGACTTGGGAGGCTGAAGTCTGATTCTTCTTTCCAGTCCTGACGCACTCCCTCAAACACAGGCTGAGAGGCCATCTGCAACCTAGGTGCGAGCCCCTTGTCCCTCTGTCGCTGTCCTCTAAACACGCTTTATTGGTCCTTAAGTACGCCACCTAGACCATCACTTCCAAGGACTCACCGAGTCTCCCCTAGGTTTACCTCCTCCCCTGCTTCATAGTCTACCTCCAGCCCTAAGTCTTCAAAAGAGGCTGCCCTAGCTCTCCTGAGTAGGTCAGACCTGCTTTTTATAGCGTCTCCAGGCATTTCCTTCTCCACGCTTTTCAGAGCTACAAATTAACATTTGATGATCATCCACCTCCCCCATTAGGATGTAAATTCCCTGGGGTAAGAATTGTGTCCTCCTTGTCGCCCCCGCCACCCCCTACCCCCCCCCCCCGCCTTTAGTCTTTAGTCAGAGTTGAAAACTACCAGTTGGATGGCTAAATAATACTTGGAAGAATCTTACTAACAGTTTGATACGTAGAGGTGAGGTAGAAGAGCCTGGTAAAAGGAAATTCCTAGAGTCAAGATTCCTCTTCCACGGCTGATCCTGAATAGATCTATTCTACCTGAAATGATTCCTGGATTCAGACCTCATGAAAGGGGGAAACGTTCAGAACTGGCCAATTCCTGAGCATTAGTGGAGTATTCTATTTAATGGTACCAGAATGTACTAAGAATCTGGGGTTATGAGCATAGCTCACGGGTAGAGTACTTACCTAGCAACCATCAGGCCTTACTTAGCCTCAATTCCCAGCACTGAAAGAGAGATAAGGAGCCGGGCGGTGGTGGCACATGCCTTGAGGCAGAGGCAGGCGGATCTCTGTGAGTTCGAGACCGGGCTGGACCGACAGCCTCCAAAACAATACAGAGAAATCCTGTCTCGTAAAACCAAAAAACAAGGCCGGGCGTTGGTGGCGCATGCCTTTAATCCCAGCACTTGGGAGGCAGAGGCAGGTGGATCTCTGTGAGTTCAAGGCCAGCCTGGTCTACTGAGCGAGTTCCAGAACAGCCTCCAAAGCCACAGAGAAACCCTGTCTTGAAAAAAAAACAAACAAAAAACCAAAAAAAAAAAAAAACAAAAAGCAAAAAAAAAAAAAAAAAAAACAAAGAGAGAGAGAGAGAGATAAGGGGGCACAGATTGTGACCTAGTCCCTGCTAAGACAGAAGCCTGTCAACAGAGTCCACTGGGAAACTCTGAGAGCGGGGCTGCGGGTTGCAATAGGTTGCTTCTGTATGACTCCTTAAATATAGGTAGCACCTGCTTCTTTGAAAGTTTTCATCTGATGCATGGTTTATAGAAGGTGTCATTAGCACAGTGCTTTCTGGTGTCGCACTTGACCTAAGCAGTAAGAGTTGTATGAGCCCATTCAGTGTTTCAGGATGGATGACTTGGGGACATCTCATCAAAGCAACATCTTGAGCAGGGCATGAGAGAAGGCAACAATCACTTGTCTGGTTTTCCTGCCTGCCCATCTTCTGAACTACCTACCTACTTTTGGAGAATTCCCATCTATGTCTAAGGAAGTTTCATTGTTTTGGCCCTAATAAGAGATGCAGCGTCTACCACAGAACCTTGAGGCTCTCACACACTTCCTGCTCTGAGGGTGCATGTTCAAGCCATGAGGTCGGCCATGGAGGTGCCACTAGTAAGTGGGACTTCAAATCTGGAGCAAGGCAAGAAGGTGAAGGTGGCTAAGAATTTATTTCTGTGTGGTGCAGGTTACCATGGGGCTTGCAGCGCCCTCTTGCGCCTGGAGGAGGAAGTGTCGGTTTCCACGATGAGGGCAAATGGTCACTGCAGAGAAGGGAGGGCACCAAGTTGCCAGACCTCCTTCAGTGATGCTGATTACTGAGCCTTCACACTGACTGAATCAATGTGAACTCTATACGTTGCTAATTTGAGGGTGATTTGGGAGAGGGAAATGGTTGGCTTAGTATAGACTTTTTAAAAATTTGTTTTATTTTGTTGTTTAATTTACTTGAATTAGCCCTTGCTGTTTTTTAATAGGAGCCCCAATTGACCCAGTGATCAAGGGCTCATATTTGATTTAAACAAATCAACAGTAAGTACATTATTCCAAAATTTTCCAATTTTCTATTTTCTTCTCTCATGTCAACAGACTTGGCTAGCACCTACCTACCAGGAATGCGAAATTAACAATAGAAAAGCCAGGGTCAGTGAGATGGCTCAGTGGCGAGATGAGTCAGGGGTAAAGGTACTTGATTTGCCACGAAGCCCGATGACCTGAATTCAATCCCTGGGCCCTCTATCTCCACTGGTGTGCCAACACACAGAGACACATGCACACAATACACTATTTTCAGTGTTAAAGACTAGAAAACCTGGGTGTGGTGGATTGCACCTGTAGTCTCAGCCCCTTGGGAGGCTGGGGAAGGAGGACTGACTCAAATTCAAGACAAGCCTAGAATAATGAGTTGCAGACCAGCCTGGACTGCACATCGAGACCTTGTTTAAAAACCAACCAAACAAACAAGAAATAACAACAACAAAAAGAGTAAGAGTGCAAGAAGGGTAATTAGAAGCCCAGAGTCTGAGACCGAAGAAGGTCAGCCTGGGCTATGTACCAAATAGGAAAACAGAAAGATTTATAATTAGAATTTGTACTCAAGGAGATTAGATTTTTGACAAGATATAGATAAATGAAAACCAAAAGAAAATTATGGGTCATTCCTAGAAGAAGCAGATAAAGGCTTAACTTTTCTTTGTTCACAAAGAAAGTCAAAGAATTTGTAAGACAAACTTTTTGTTTGTTTGGGTTTTGGTTTGTTTTTCAAGATATGATTTCTCTGTGTAGCCCTGGTTGTCCTGGAATTAGTTGTGTAGACCAGACTAATCTCAGAGATCTGACTGCCTTGGCCTCCCGAGTGCTGGGATTAAAGGTATGTATCACCACAATCCGGCACAAACTTCTTTTTAAAAATTTAGTACTGGGGGTGCTGGAGAGATGACCCAGCAGTTAAAAGCACTGGCTGCTCTTCCACATGCAGGCTAAAACACCAATGCACATAAAATACAAATAATCTTAAACAGAATTTAATACTGGGGTTAAACCTGGGAAAGCACACCCGCTGGGTGGGTGTACCACACCTCTAGCACGCAGTGTAATTTTTTTTTTTTTTTTTTGGTTTTACGAGACAGGGTTTCTCTGTATTGTTTTGGAGGCTGTCGGTCCAGTCTGGCCTCGAACTCACAGAGATCCACCTGCCTCTGCCTCCCGAGTGCTGGGATTAAAGGCATGCACCACCACCACCCAGACTCAGTGTAATTTTTATAAATCATTTTCTGGGGGGAAGGTAGGGGGTGAGAGGATTGTCAAAATAGGGTCTAGGATGGAGTTGTGTGAGGAGATTTCTGAGTGCTTGTGAGGAAACAAGAAACCAAGGCAAGGGTCTTGTGACCTCAGTTTCTTCAAACTACAGAACTTTTCGTGCCCTTCCCAAGTGTAGTGGATAGGAGTGAGTTTGCTTCAGATAATCTTTACAACTGGCTATGGTTATTTGTTTATATATCTCCATGGAAAAATATGTTTTTGTAAAATTCGGCTTGTCGACCACAAGTGGCTTTTCCTTGTGGTTGTACACTTTACTCACGTGACTCCTCTTAACCCTCAGTATAAATCGTCTGATGCTCTGAATAAAAAGTTGGCTATTGAATGAGATTTTAGTCTGTGTCATTTTCAACTCCATTCTCCCAGGTCTCACCCCCTCTAGAGTAGTAAGCGGGGTGGGAAATGTTGAGACAGGATCTCTTATAGCTGAGGCTGGCCTCAAACTTATATAACTGAGGCAGGCCTTGGACTCTGATCCTTCTGCCTCCATCTCCAAAGGGTTGGGTTTCCAGGTGTGAGCTTAGAACCCATTGTAATTTTTAAAATTGATAAAGGTCGCAAGACAGCTCACAGACCAGGAAGTCTGGCTTTTAATTCATGAAAAGATCTTCAGTCCCATTATAATGAAAGAGTTATAAACAAAAGCTGCAAGAAAGCACTTTGCTTTTTGAATGATTGGCAATGTTCTCAAAGCTTAACACACTGAAGGCAAGTCTGTGGGTAGTCAGGCATTTGTAGTGGGAGGGCCAGCCGATAAGTGGGATTTGTCTAAAGACAGTAACATAGGACACAAAAAATTAAAAGTGTAGCGTTTGATGTAATAAAGCCAATTCTACAAACTTGTGGTTATACATATATGCAAATAAATATATCCAAGGGTTAATGCAGTCTTCTCTCTCTCTCTCTCTCTCTCTCTCTCTCTCTCTCTCTCTCTCTCTCTCTCTCTCTCTCTCTCTCTCTCTGAGACAGGGTTTCTCTGTGTAGCCTATCCTGGAACTTGTAGACCAGGCTGGCCTTGAACTCAGAGATCCACCTGCCTCTGCCTCCCAAGTGTTCATCGCCACCACCTGGCTTGATGTATTCTTCTTTAATTCCATAAGATTAGAAACAACCAAAGCATCTATTACTGGCCAACTTGTTAAGAATATGCTGGAATATTATCACCAACAAAAATGAGGTATTGTTAAGTGAAGTTTTGTTAAATGACGTATTGTTAAATGTTAATACAGACCATCTTCTGTACTGACTGCTAAGTAGAAAAATTAGGTACAAAGTTAGAGTAAATATATATGCACATGTTAGATGCACGTAGGTGTCTAGAAGAAGACAACAGGGCTGGGAATGTAACTTCCTGGTAGAGCATTTGCTTAGCACGCCCATGACCTTAAAGCTCATCCCCAGAACTACAAAAGTTTAAAATAAACAATGGGGCCAGGTTCATGGTAGAGCACACCTTTAAGCTCAGCACTCAGGTCTACAAAGCAAGTTCCAGGACAATCAGAACAACTTAGAG